CAGTATAAAAGGACATGCCATTTTTGTCACTTTGACGGTGTCTGGTGTTTGACGGGGGGAGGTGGGGGAAACAAAAAATAATCTTGTTTACGTTTGCATTAAGATGATTTTTCTTACCCCATGGTGGATAATTTTACTTGTTTTAAGTAAAATGCACTTAAATGCATTTGTTTCCCTCCAGGAAACAAGAATAAACTTAGGCTATATAATTTTTCTTATACAGAAAATGCATCGTGATTTAAGAATTTTTAGATATTTGTACTTGAAATAAGACAGAAATACTCAGTAAGAAAAGCATTTTTGCAGTGTGAATGAATGAATGAGGTATTTAAACATCGCTTACGCTTTAAAAAGGGGGAGGAGACCGTAAGAAACTGTGGGTTTACCAAAGAAAACCTGCTCCCGATCAGGTTAGGCTCATAAAGTAAGTTACCACGGTAACTGACTCTGAGTATAAGTTACCTCTCTTTCAGAAACAAACACAAAATGTACATTTTTGTAAGTTTTTATTGATGCTACAACGTACAATTTAGACGTATTTCAACATTTAAAACAAACAAATTGCTACATATTTTTAGCTAAAAAACGTTAAATATTTACTTATCTTTTATATCAAGATATTCGTATCGATGCATTTTTATAATTTTATCAATAAGCGATTTAGATTTTTAGACTCCTTAAAGGCACAATATGTATGTTTTCATCGCTAGAGGGCGCATATTCAAAACAAACAAGAAACAAAGGCGTAGTTTTTATGTGGGGTAAAAATAAATATTTTTTTTATCTAGTTTTATACTAGATACATTTGAGTGTATTGAAAGTTCCATTATAATGCTACTCTGTGCGTTTGTCACCTGTCTAATAAAATGCATAACATATTAAAGTGTCTTTGGGGCTTCCATGTTTTCAACAAAATAAAAAAGGAAAAATCGAGGGGTTATGACGTCATTGGCAGGCGACGCAATGACACTATGGACACGGTCCATGTCACTAGTTAAAATTGCTTATTTCTCTGTATTTAAACATTCTTCAAAACATTTGGGATAATGTAAGTACACAAGTCAGCAAAATATATAACACTGTTCTAGTGGTTTTGGGATATTTTAATCAAAAAAATCTTACATATTGTGCCTTTAACCGACCCCCAAACCTAAAACCTACCCATTTTATTACCTACCCATTTGCTAAATTCTGAAAAAACAGAGGTGTTAATTATCGGACCAAAAACCTCCACATGTAATGACTTAGAACACTGTTTAATATTTGATGGCTGCTCTGTCAATTCTTCGTCATCAGTTAGGAACCTAGGCGTGCTATTTGATAGCAATCTTTCCTTTGAAAAACGTGTTTTAGCATCTGTAAAACCGCATTTTTCCATCTTAAAAATATATCTAAATTACGACTTATGTTCTCAATGTCAAACTTACTAGAACCATATTAGAAACACTGCACTGGCTCCCCATTAAATATCATATACATTTTAAAATCTTGCTTATTACTTATAAAGCCCTGAATGGTTTAGCTCCTCAGTACATGAGTGAACTCTTATTGCATTATAGTCCTTCACGTCCGCTATGATCTCAAAACTCTGGCCATTTGATAATACCTAGAATATCAAAATCAACTGCGGGAGGAAGATCCTTTTCCTATTTAGCGCCCAAACTCTGGAACACTCTACCTAACACTGTTCGGGAGGCAGACACACTCTGTCAGTTTAAATCTAGATTAAAGACCCATCTCTTTAACCTGGCTTACACATAATACACTAACGCATTTTTATAATTCAAATCTGTTAAAGGATTGTTAGGCTGCATTAATTA